TCAGTGGCAAATTCTTTAAATATAAAAAACGTGCTTACAGGCTGTGAGTCAGAACAACCAGACTGTCCTTGCAAAGTTGGAACTGCCCCACTTTATAGAAACATTATGTCCTCTTTTGGAAGGCCAAACAAAGTAGTTTCGCTTTCACAACGATACACACAGCGGCTTGAGTGAGCGGCGCCCGGTGGATTCGACAAAGGAGGCTTGCGGAAACCACATGTGACAACCCCGGGCTGGACTCCGCTTCGTCCACGGTGAAAGTCGATCCGGCGATCCACAGCGCAAAGTTGATGTATTTCCTCAGCGACCAGCATGGATCAGCTCTAGGCATGACGAAGCGGATGATGTCCTCTTTTGGAAGACCAAACAAAGTAGTTTCGCTTTCACAACGAAACACACAGCATCTCCATAACATGGCGGCGGCAGCAACAACAATACTACAGCGAGAATAAAAGTTACGCCTTCTTTCTTTGCGTGAACATTTGGGCGGCGTTATGCAAATCTTCCCACACAGTGACGTAGACATGTGGGGGCGTGTTTAAACAAGGCGTTTTATCAAGCTGCTCCCCAAGCACACACATCCATGTTTCCAGCTCTGTGCAAATTAGTGCCCTCCATGTTGTTTTTTGACATTAAAAAAAAAAACTAAAAACTTTGCTGTTACTGTGAGAATGTGTTTTAAGGAGCAAGGCAACAATCTTCAGTCTTCTAGTGTGAGCTGAAAAAGTACATCAGCCTATGCTTGGGAATTGATACTTTTAACCCATTTATGAGAGAGTGTTTATATACCAGAACTGAACAGGATTATTTAAATGCATTAAGCATGTAGTGCATTAGCTTGTCAAAAGTTATTCACAATGGTTGTTTACTTCATGAATATGGTAATTAGAGAGCAGTGCCAAGCACAGATCTGCTTAAATAAGATAACAGCACTGTCCACGTGTATTATTGATGCAGACACTGTGAATTTCACCCTAAATTAATTACTAATTGAAAAACTTTAAATATTTCTCGGAGTAGAGGGAACCTGAACCTGAGCTAATTCAATTCTATTTAAGTGCCACTACTGAGCATAAATGATTTAAAAATCAAGTAGCTATTTTTCTGAGGTGTATTCATCATTGTTTGTCTGTTCGATATACCCTATAGCAAGAAAACACAAACTAGCAGGACAGAGTTCTCCTGAAACTATACTCCATTACAGTTCTTAGCATTGTACATTGATGCATTGTTCTACAAGTTAACATGAAACCCAACCGTAACCCATTTTACTGATATAATGTTCAGAAATACATAATCATGGATCATGTTCTATATTAGAAAGGGAGCCAGATCTGAATGTGAGTTTGCAAAATGTTGAGCAGATGAAAAATATTAAAGAATAACATGCACTGATGAATTGAGCACAAGACCAGCAATGTAACATATACCTTTACCAGCGCAAAATCAGTGCGAACCCCATTTAAATCTACAAGTGTGAAATGGCGCTTAACCCAGGGTTAAAAGTGGCCTTAACCTGAGGTTAAAAAGACTAATATAGTATATCTAACTTCCTCTGTCATACATGTTTAAGGAATATTCCTGGTTCAATACAAGTTAAAGGGTTTTTAGTTTACCTAAAAGCGAAAGTTCTGTTCTTATTTACTCACCCTCATGTCGTACCAAGCCCATAGATTTGTTCATCTTCAAAACACAAAGACTTTAATAAAACCTAAGATTTCTGTCCCTCCATTTAATTTTTAATGCTTAAACGGGTTCATTAAGACGTTGTAAAAGTAATCTAATCTAATCTTCTGAAGGGACATTATGATTAAGCTTTTTATATGTGAATAAAATTGGTTCGTTTATCATTTTTAATGTGTTCATATTTGAATGCATTGCTTTTACAAACTTCTGCAAAAAGTTTAGGAGAAATGGGCTTTCAATGTAGGGACAGAAACCTCTCAGATTTCACGTAAATATCTTCATTTGTGTTTCGAAGGTGAATGAAAGTCTTATGGAATTATGACTACATCGTTGTCGTGTAAACGTAGCCCTCAGTTATGCATTGTTTTCAATAATTCGTCTCTGCTTTGCCAGGAACCCAATATTGCTGAAGCTCTGCCTCCCAAGCTTAGCTGGGCAACTTCAAAGGGATTCTTCTCATTTCAGCAGAGGGAAGGGAAGGGGGGTCTTGCCCCCACAGACAGCCATAATAGGCCTGTATCAATCTGTGGGTGAGGCCTGAGCTCAAGGAAGCTCCGACATGAATGGATCAAAGATGAGGGTCACACTAAGAGACTCGACTGGGGGCCCATGTGGCCTGTGTCGATTAACTCACCTAGTAGGCAGCGCCAGTTTCTGCAGCACGTGAAGCAGGATCTGTCCTTCCGAAGAACCCCAACCGGAGCTGCCAACCGCACTCATCTGTACGGAAAGAAGATAAAATGTACCTTAGGAAACAGGCTCACAGATGACACTCTCATACGATATCAACCAGAAGCAGCGTGAAACCTATTTAGTCACTTTAACGCGCTCCACGAGCTCGGCTCTATCATAACAGGCTGAAAATAGCATGAATGGTAACCCGTACGACACTCGAGTACTTTGCCGCTGATTTGACGTGTCTGTTTTTAGAATTAGCGGCTCTCCGCACTTCAGTGTGACAGAGCCCATTACAATGTCATCTCGATGGCGTCTCACAGATGAGATGCTTCATCCGAGTGAATGAGGGTCAGTGAAAGCCCCCTCTGATGAACAGCACAGGACAGACTCTTCATCTTTTTAAGAGCTCTCTGTGAATCCTGCTCCTCACGCTGGCAGATGCACACCACACACTGTGAAATCGGGAAGGCCGTTTGTAATGTTTTTCCCTCGTAACTCATACTCCTACAAATCTACCTGCCATCTTTTGATATAAAAAAAAATATGTGATGAAAGTAACTAATAAAAGACATCATGAGACCATAAAACATATATGTTGAATACAACAACATACAGCTGTGGTCAAACTTTTACATACACTTTGCGAACACACAGTAAACAAGAGAAAATAATAGTTAAATCATTTGTATGTATATATATGTAAAAATCTTTTTAATCTTATTCAGGTCAGTGCAAAATAAAAAAATAACATGCATTTAGTATGATCCCTCTTTATTTTGGTAAAATAATTAACATTTTGCAGATACTGCAAAGTGAATGTAAAAGTTTGACCACAGCTGACACACAAAACTGTGTCAGTCAGTCAGATTTTGTGTTTTTATGAAAAAGGAAATTAAAACTTTAAAAGGAAGCATTAAATTGATCAAAAATTACAGTAACTACATTTATGATATTACAAAAGATTTTAAAATGCCATTCTTTAGAACTTTCTATTGATCACAAAATACTGAAAAATCACTGTTTCCAAAACAACTGTTTTCAACATTAATAACAATAAATGTTTTCGGAGCACCAAATCAGAACGTTAGAATGGTTTCTGAAGGATCATGTGACACTGAAGACTGGAGTAATGGTGCTGAAAACTCAACTTTGCCACCACAGGAATAAATTACATTCTAAAATATATGAACAGAAAACAGTAGAACTGTCTACCTATATCCATCTATAATGGCTTTCAAAATACAAACTATGGATAAATCTAAGCCTGAGCGAAGGCTGTGTTGAGGTGTAAATGAAATGTAGCAACATTGCTAACTTGCATGACAGTAGTTCAGCTGTTTTCAAAATACTTCTCAGTAACACGCTGCTTTTCCAGTTTAGTGGTGTCACTTGACAAAATGCTACTCTATTTTTCCACTCACTGTTTTGCATATGCACCATCTTAACTGAGCATCTCCCTCTAGTAACTTTGGAAAATCTGATTCATTTTAGCAGATGAGGTTATTTGGACAACTTGTTTCAAGTTAACTTTTTTTTCTCTCTCTCTCTCTCTCTCCCAGCCATTTACAGTGGAACAAAAAGCTACTTCACTTATCTTACAGTCAGGACAATAAAGATTTGTGAACTACACACTGTAAGCAATGCTATCACTCAGCTTTGAACAATATACAATTTTAACCTAAGCTAATACAGTATAGCTCATGCTAGTATAGCTCAACTATACTTGCATGATGTGTAAGAATAAATTGGCTCTCACTTGTCAAGCAAGTACATTCGAGCTTCCGTTTACCATATTTTATGTGCTCTATGAATGTGATCAATGTTTTTTTTTATGAGACTAAAAGCAAGTGAATGTAAAAGTTTGACCACAGCTGACACACAAAACTGTGTCAGTCAGTCAGATTTTGTGTTTTTATGAAAAAGGAAATTAAAACTTTAAAAGGAAGCATTAAATTGATCAAAAATTACAGTAACTACATTTATGATATTACAAAAGATTTTAAAAAGCCATTCTTTAGAACTTTCTATTGATCACAAAATACTGAAAAATCACTGTTTCCAAAACAACTGTTTTCAACATTAATAACAATAAATGTTTTCGGAGCACCAAATCAGAACATTAGAATGGTTTCTGAAGGATCATGTGACACTGAAGACTGGAGTAATGGTGCTGAAAACTCAACTTTGCCACCACAGGAATAAATTACATTCTAAAATATATGAACAGAAAACGGTAGAACTGTCTACCTATATCCATCTATAATGGCTTTCAAAATACAAACTATGGATAAATCTAAGCCTGAGCGAAGGCTGTGTTGAGGTGTAAATGAAATGTAGCAACATTGCTAACTTGCATGACAGTAGTTCAGCTGTTTTCAAAATACTTCTCAGTAACACGCTGCTTTTCCAGTTTAGTGGTGTCACTTGACAAAATGCTACTCTATTTTTCCACTCACTGTTTTGCATATGCACCATCTTAACTGAGCATCTCCCTCTAGTAACTTTGGAAAATCTGATTCATTTTAGCAGATGAGGTTATTTGGACAACTTGTTTCAAGTTAACTTTTTTTTCTCTCTCTCTCTCTCTCCCAGCCATTTACAGTGGAACAAAAAGCTACTTCACTTATCTTACAGTCAGGACAATAAAGATTTGTGAACTACACACTGTAAGCAATGCTATCACTCAGCTTTGAACAATATACAATTTTAACCTAAGCTAATACAGTATAGCTCATGCTAGTATAGCTCAACTATACTTGCATGATGTGTAAGAATAAATTGGCTCTCACTTGTCAAGCAAGTACATTCGAGCTTCCGTTTACCATATTTTATGTGCTCTATGAATGTGATCAATGTTTTTTTTTATGAGACTAAAAGCATAAATTAAATTGGTTCATCATATAAAGTTGTGCTGTCAAAATTTCAGTTTAACGCATTAAAAATATTTAACGTGGGGCGGAGCTATGTTTGGCCAGCCCACTCACAACTGCTGCTTCTGTCTCTTTTTTCTTGACAAGAATCGCGTTTATTTAGATGCAGAACATCTTTACCAAAGAATTTGATACAACCACATCAAACGGGGACTTTTCAGATGCGCACTCTAACTTCGCCTCAGTGCCAGGCGCAAGTCGAACGAGCGCGGACAAGATACAGGTGACGAGAGAACTTCAGTAGAACAACAGTGAACTGTGCTCAGCTCTTCAATTGCACGCACAAATTTAGTGGTGTGCTGTAATATATTAAAGCACTGTATCATATTAAATCGCAAATGAAACTACGAGCATGCAACGTCGTAGTTATGTTGTCAGTTAAGGCAGTTAACACAGCCTTAAATCTGTGCATATAAGTATTTGTTATATTGTATATGAGTCACATTTAAGAACATGTCTCTGAAATGCAGTGGTTTTCAAAACCGTTCTGGAGCAGCCCAGAGTCTCCCTCACCTGACACAGCCATTTCAGCTCATTAGTAGAGATTTTAAGACCTGAAGCATGCCAGAAAAGTACAGTAGTTTTACAGTATACTGTAATGTTGAATGGCAAGTCAATGGTTAAATATTAGGATAAAGAAAACAATTTTCTTAGAGACATCAGTAGTATTGGTATCAGTGATACTCACTTTCAGTAATAAGAAAGATGCCATTAAATATATTAAACAAATATTAAAAATACACTGTCTTTATGTTGTTTCTACATTAATTAGAAGATTGAATGTGAAATTATTAAAATATAAATGTATATTTAAAAACTTTAATGTTAGGTGGGATTAATTTCAGAAAAAATGTTAATTAGTTGTTGTTTTTTTAAATTGATTGACAGCAGTAATATAAAGTGATCATGTCTCCTCAGAAGACTTGGATTCAAATGCTTGACTTTTCCACAATGTCTTTGAACGTTTTGAAGCAATCAAAGTTTTGGTTACAGTGGTTCAGTGGAAGGACAGAAATCTCCTTTCATTAAAAAATGTCTTAATTTGTGTTCTTATGAGTTTGGTATGACATGAAGGTGAGTAAATGGTTTTTTATTTTTGTGTGAACTAAGCCTTTAATTTGTCTATTTATTTTCAGTTCAGTTAAATAAATCAGGGTGTTTTTATTCATTATGTGTGTACATTTGTATGTTCAACTAAGACTGTTATTCTAATTGAAATACAATTTGTTTTGTGCAAGACAAAATACTGCTCTGATTTCTTATGTAATGTGATATGTATATAAGAAATATGTAGTGCCCTTAAAAAGCTTCAATGCAGCTTTCAAACTACTTTTTCTAGATTAGCTAGACTTTGGTCTAACTTACCAAGTGCCAAATGGGAGCATAAATTACAGCAGTTAATCTTACTCCCTACCCCCCCAAAAAAAACTTGTTGTGGTGAATTTTGGTGGTTTTAATGGTCTAAACATGTACCAACTAATATGAAAAGTATGAGAGAAAATCAATCAATTCATCCACCATTGGCAGATATTGTAAAACGCCTGGAAATATTTGAAAACTCTATGTAGGCCACAAAAGTAGCTAGGAAGCCACTATACAGATTCACAGAAGCACACAGAGCTGAATCTGAGGGGCCGTTTACACAACAACGGCATTTTGGGGACTGAAAATGGGTTTCAAAGTGCAAGTTTTTGAAAACGCCACCGTTGTCGTTTCCGTGTAAACACCCAAAACGGGAATCTTTGAAAACGGTGACGTAATGCGCGTGCGTAGTACGTGTTAGGTATGTAGACATGCGCAGTACGTATCGATTTTAAAGGCAAGCGCGAAACAAACATTCACAACAATGGCGGAGTACATGGTACTGTTTAAGAGTTTGCTAATGCTTCTTCAGTAAAGTGTGGATTTACTTCACCAATATTACAACCAACAGCGGAGACGAGATCATATACACACGGCTACAGGTACTGTTTACTAACAAGGTGACAGCGCCAACTACTGGCCTAGCATACGTAATATTCGCGGATATGTGTAAACGTGAATCGTTTTGAAAAGGGAAAAACTTTCCAGTTTTTGACTACATCGTTGTCGTGTAAACGTAGCCTGAGACTA